CAACTTCAGGAGCCACTTTGCAGCCTCAGAGAGCAGAACAAATCCTGACAGTGCTTGAAGAGGGATGAGCCACCTGCCAGTCACGCAGGACACCCACGGCTCCTCCCAGCACAGGGAATCTCAGAGCCATGGACAGGCGGTGGGAGCCACTGAGATGTTCAGAACCACGAGCGGGACCACCCAAAAATCAACCCACTCCCCTGCCAACCTCCTGGTTTCCCTTCCTGTTCTCCCCATCTCTTGCACTTCCACACAGAGGATGCTCTTGCTCCCACTCCCTACCAGCACAGCCCCTTTCCCACGGGGGTTTCTCCCCTCTCTGCTGCTGTTGCTCCAGGAAGGCCGTGTCTCCTGTCGCTCCCGTTCCTGCCCTCCAGCTGTGACCCACAGCCACGGCCCCGGAAAGCCCGGGCTGGATCCTGCTCCCTCCCACTGGTTTTAGAGAGGTTTGATGCTCTGTTGGAGGTATTTTTAGTGGAAGATAATGCGGTTCCAGCTCTCCCGGGAACCCTCCTGCCCCAAGTCATTGCTCCCGAAGCACTTGGCTCCAGCTGTGCGGGAATAGTGCAGAGAAATTGGTTTTCCCAAACCCAGTCACATCCTCCCATTGGGGGATAAATGGGAAACTTCGGCTAAAGCAAAGCTTGGCTCTTCTGTTGGGTCTGAGGCTCAACAAACTGAAAGGGCCCAAAAATGTAACCCTGTGTTTATGGTCAGTTTTGTACCACGAGAAACCAGACAAAGGTAAAATCTCTGTTCAACTCTTCACTTTACTATACCTTGGGGATAAGTTAATAAAAATATTCCCATTTCTGTCTGATGGCTTCAGACATCCCTTAATGCCCCTTCTTGGCCTGAAAACCCACTCTCTGATCCTCACCAACCCACTCTTGTCCCCACGTTCAGGGGACACCCCGAGCACCTGGCAGGAAGCTCTGAAAGGAGATGAGCACCTTTGGCACAAGGGCCGTCTCTCCATCCCCATCAGCACCAGGTACCAGCCTGGTTTGGTTCTTTTATGCTGAAATGATGGCAAAGAATTCTGAAGGAATAAACTGGATTTTTTCCAAACTCATGGCCTTTCGCTTGGAGAAATATTGTGACTCAAAATCTGAAAATGAACAGTTCAACATAAAAAAATTTAAAAAAGTGAAAAAAAAAAGAGGCCTTGGGAAGGATGACCAAGAATAACCCTTTTCCCCATCACCCCCACGTGTTGTCTTGTGCAGCTCCCTGAGCCCTTGCTGGGGAGGAGCTGAGGCTTTGCTGGTGTGAGGGGGGAAGCAAAGGGACCTGGAGCAGTTTCCCAAGGGAATCTTTTGGCACTGAGGGGTTTTACCTTGGCTTGGCCAGATGATGGGGAAGGGGCACCTACAGATGTGGGTCAGACTCACATGGGTTTCATCACCCCGGGACTGTCCAGGATGCAGAGATGGGAATTCTCACCTGCCACAGCCCCCCATCAACACCCAGAGCCCCCATGACCTGCAAAGACACAGCTGTGGGGCTGAGGCTTCCAAAATACCCAGAGTATTTCAAAAGGCCCACCACTAAAAGGAGCATCAGACCCAAATCGTAGGGGATGCAGATGAGTCGGGACCAGGAGGTCCCGCAAGGTCTGAAATCCATGTTGTCATCAGTGTGAGGTTCCTGGCCGTCTTTCCTGTGGCTTTGATGAGGGTCTAGCCCACAAAGACCTCTAAGATACCAACCCTCTGCTCGCAACTGCCCCTGGACACAGCTGGTCCTGCACAGCAGCACTGCCAGATGTGATTCCCCTCCCCTGAGCCGCCCCGTCCCTCCACAGCCCGTTTTCTCCCGGCAGCCCCGTGGTGATTGGTTGCAGTAAATGCCGGCTGCTTCTCGGGGAAGGAAACAAATGCACTTAATAATAGAGTGCTAATCAGGGCACTTAATCACTAACAAAGTTACTCAGCTCCTGCTGGAACCCCCCTGCTATTCTCTGCACTGTTTACACCCGGCGGTGCCCAGAACAAACAGCTTCAGCTGCATTTCCCTCCCCCTCACCCTGCCCACGGTCTGTGGGCAGCAGCAGCCCCGGGGTCACTCCAGCTGGAGCTCCTGTTGTCCTGTCCCTTCCAGCTGGAGCTCCTGTTGTCCTGTCCCTTCCAGCTCTGGGCCTTAAAACCCAGAAAATGTCTCTTCCCACCTCTCTATTCCTCACCCAATATGTTCTGCTAAAGCAGCTTCGCTCCAGATACAAACATCTGGAGAATGGGATGAACCCGGGGGGATGTTGGGGACATTGCTGACTCCAGCTGCAGCTCTCAACCCCCATCCTTGCCCTTCTGCCCCTCCTTCACACTGCCTGTGCCTTGGGAATCCCCAGAGAAGGCCCAGCTGGGAATACCTGAGTGGTTCTGGTTTATTTGACCCAACCTGCAGTGCAGCCCGTGCCCTGCGCTGGGGCAGGTGCAGAGGATGCTTCTCAGGGAAGTACCAAAAGCATTTGCCCTCAATAAATCTGGGCCAGCGTACCTGAAGTGATACTGTGGGGGCTCTGATATTTTAAGGTCTTCACAAACCCTTCCTGAGCTTTGCCCCTTCGGTCCAACTCCTCCTCCTGGGGTTTTATAAGTTCCCCTCTTCAAGGCCCCTGTGTTTCACTCCCCATCCAAGCTGATTCCAGCTCATGGGATCACACCAAGTGGGGCTTGGGGAGCATCTGCTCCTACTCCCACTGTCTCCCACATTCCAGATCCACCTCCAGCAGCTCACTCTTATCTTCTTTGGGAAGCAGGCACCACCCCAGCCTCTGAAGGGCACCCAGCAATCCTGCTTCTCCCTCCACACCCCGTTCCTTTTGGGGACCCCAGCAGGACACAGGGCTGGCCACCCTCCCCTCCCCAGGTGTCATGGCCCACCTCTGCAGGCCCAGCCGATCTCATTCCACTTACACGGAAAAGCTCTGCAGGGGGTAACTGATTCTCCTACAAAAAGGTCCTAAAGTCAGATTTTCATAATCTTACCCAGTTTTTAGTAGTTTTTGGACAAAATTCCCGAAGACTGCTCTGTTTCTGACAAAGATAAAGGGGGAAGAGAGTTGAGTACATTGTTGAAGTGTGGGAAGCACTGCAGTGGTCTGTTTGTTATTTGTATTTGGCAGCTTTCAGAACAATTGACAGCCACTAAACGTGCTCATTATTACCAATTCAAATATTAAACATGCTGCTGTGTAATTAATTCATCCTTCCCTTTCCTGGCTTCCTCTCTCCTGCTGGGGTAGTGCAGGAACACCCCCACACCAGGTCCATAAATGCACCAGATCAGGGAGGGAAGGGACTGGAAAGGACCTTAAAGCTCATCTCATTGCACCCCCTGCCATGGTCAGGGACACCTCCCACTAGTCCAGGTTGCTCCAAGCCCCATCCAACCTGGCCTTGGACACTTCCAGGGATCCAGGGGCAGCCACAGCTTCTCTGAGCAACCTGTGCCAGGGCCTCCCCACCCTCCCAGGGAAGAATTTCTTCCCAATATCCATCTAAACTGCCCCCTCTCACTTTTTGAGGCCATTAATTCTGCCACAAAGCCTGGGGAGTTCTGACCAACAGCCAGATGTTTGAAGGATCAAACATTTCCCTTCGCAGAGCTTCGTCTCCAGAATACAAGGTCAAGATGCCTCCACACCATCCCGCTGCCACTGTTCCATTCCTGCCCTTCCTCACCCTGAGCCATCATCCTGGACATCTCATCCCACCTGGCTGCTTCTCTGGGACCAAACAGAGCAGCAGGAAGGGGAGGTGGCCTGAACTACAGGGCTGGCTTTGCAGGAGGGGACGGGAGCAGACAATCAGCCCCGAGGTTAATTAGTGCCCCAAGAGCAAATGCTGGCAGGACTTTCCATGTTGGGAATTATGTTCCAGGGTATTGTTTCCTTTCGAGGGCCACAGTGGGAAGGTTTGACTTGTCTGAGAGGCCTCTGTCAGTCTATTTTACCAATCAAATATGATTTGCTTTAAACAGCTACTAACCTGAGCTGGCACAGTGGCTCTAAAAGCTCCTGCTGGGAATCAGAACATGCCAGGCACAAACACCACCCCAGAAATCACCTCTGCTGCTGCACATGTGAGGGCAGGGCCTCTCCCCAAACACGCTGCAGGATCTGTGGAATCAGCAGGAAGACAGAAACACAGGGTGTGTTCAGAGAGAAATAACAACCATGGGATGGTCTGGAGTTCTGGAGTCACCTGCAGTGACAATCCCAGCCCAAGTCCCAACACCAGTCCTGCCTTGCTGGCACTCCAAGCTCAAACTACTTCCAGGCCTTCTGACTTTGGTTGTTCAAAGTTATTTCTGGGTGATGCTCCTTCTGCAGTGTCTGAAAGTCAGACTCACGTTCACTGGAGTTAAAATTAGCTCCATTTGTTTATTGCTAATGTGTGACCCAGCAGGGCAAGGACCAGCCAGTGTTGTGCATTTAAAGCAAGGTTTTGCAGAGCAGCTGCCATTTGAAAATCTCACCTGCTTCTGTTGCATCTAATCCCATAAATTCCTACTGCTGGGAGCAGCCTTTGATCCAGTTTTCCCCCTGTAAAGGTGAACTGCAGTGAACCACACTGACATGAAGACCTGTCCTGCAATGAACCTGGAAAGCTCCAAACACACAGTACTATTTTTGCTTTTCAATGTCTCTGTTCCAGATCAGTCAGATAATATCTGCAACAAAGTCTCATGGAGACCAACACAGGGGGGAAAGAGGGAGAAAACCAGGGCTCCCAGGGAAAGGCAAGGGCAGAGCTGTGGGGGGTGATGGAGGGACGCAGGAACAGCAGGGATGGGATGGTGGAGGCCCTTGTTTCACCAGCACATCAGTTAGAACCCACGGCACTGAATTCTTCACTGTTCTTGCTTTAAACCTCTTCTGCACAGGTTCTGTGGGTGCAGACACAGTAGGGTCAGGATCCATCTGCCAGGTGGGAAAAGTTAAGGATTGGAATTCTGCCTCGGACTGGAATTCAAGGAAAAGTCTCTGGGCTATGTGCATTTGATTATACATGACTTTTATTGGAGAGTGGTGGGTCATTTATTCTACAGAAGCAACATCACACCATTCTCTTCCCATTTAACTCCTTTTAGTCTCCTTATAAATCTGTAGCAAAAGTGCACTTTTAACAGTTTTTAATCTATAGTATATATCTTTCAATATTATCTCTCAGTCGGGTATTTCATTTGTAAAAATGTATCACCAGATATACAAAATACATGTCTAGTGTACTACATTAATTTTTGTATTTACTGTTTAGATTATTTTTAACTCAGTGCTCTCTCTTTTTTTTCTTTTTTTCATTTTTTGCAAGACTTAGTGATGACAGTCTTCTGGTGGCACCACCAGGAGAGGACTCACAGCTTGTGTATGGAGAAGAGGAGAAGACTCTTAGCCAGGAACAACTGTCACACAATAGGAACAAGATGACAAGGACATTTGCTGCTATCGAATGTGTCTCTTAAAATGACAGTACTCTGTATAATAAAAAATAATTAAAAAACCCAGTGTCCCTATTTTATCTTCTGGAAGAGGAGATGTGCCAGGAGAACGAGAACGGCAGCCAGCTGGAATACCATGGTGAGGGTTCATTTGCAGTTTGAAGGCAGGAGTTAATTGGTAATTGCTAAACATTTGTGGTCATGAGAGGAAGGAACAGACACATGAAGCTACCACAAGAAAAGTGAAATGCTGCTTTCCTGAGGACAGTGTTTTGGTAGAACATTGAATATCCTGTACAAGCCACAGAATTGCATAAGTTAAATATCCTCAAGAACAACAAGCACTGGAGGACAGGGGAGGGGCTGTGCTGGAACAGCCACACACACAGGACAAGGATCACCCAGCAAGGTGGAGTCAGGAACACACTCATTCCCACTGGTATTTAGAGCCAGCTGTGACAAGCTTTGGCACTGCAACAGGGCTTCTCAATAAGAAACTTGCACCAGATTTTCTGAGAGTTCTTACAAACTTCCTCAGTCTTTTCTTTCTAGTTATCCTTGAGATTATAATATATACACATGTGATGGGGAATTGCTTGTTTCAGTCTTCAAAGACCAGCAATTCCTCCTGTTAAGCAAGGCCTAGAGAGGTAAAACAATCAGAAGCATTTTTAGGGGGTGTTATGATTCCCAGATTACCAACAAATGACAAGGAACACTTACAAGGCAATGTCTGGGTTGGTGGGTTGGTTTTCCTTCTTACCTGTTCATCCCCTTGAAGCCTAAGAACACTTGGATTAGTTCCATAAATGCTGCTTCTCTTGGTTAACCCTTCCCAATTAGTGCTGTTTCTGTGGATTAGCATAGATTCAAAATGCACCAGTTTGCTTGGAATTGACTGAAATGTGGAACAGATTCTGGTTCAGAATGAGGGCACTTTTGGTTTATGCAACAGCTCCAAGAAACGCTGGAACTTCAACTTCCTACAGCAAGAGATGTTCCTTGAAAGGGACCTGCTCTGCTCCCCTGGAGTCAGGGCTTTGAGGCAAAACTGCTGCTTCCAAAGCAACACACAGCAAAGGCTGAGGTGAACACAGCTCTCTCCCTTCTGCAGAAGAGACAGGAGAGTACAAATCAGGATACAAAAGGCGCAGTGCTGTTAGTGTTCTCTGAACCCAACACAGTGCAGAACGGGAGGCTGACAATGCTGCAGAGAGAGGGGTTTGTCTGCTTTGCTTTATAAAAATGACAGACTTGACATTTCCAGTATGTCTTAGCTTTGTACTGCTTCTCAAGTCTGAGTCACCAAAAATATCCAGCAACCAGCTGCTGTTCATATCCTAAAATATGCCTTCAGCTGACACTGAATATTGAAATCGTTCTGCTAAAATACAGAAAAATCACAATGGCAGAAACCAAGGTACAGCCTCAGGCCAACATTAAATGGTCAGAATTCTACAATGCTACTTTTAAATCTCTTCTTCCATTCATGGACAAACAAGCAGCCAGGTTTCAAGTAGAGGTAACACGGATTTTGGAAGATAGCACGTGAAAAAAGCCCAGGAAGGAAACTGGAACAAAGCTCTTCTTGTGATGGCAGTCAGCACTAATCCTCCAAAAAGGGCAGGGAGGGACCTTCCTCCTCCTGCTGGCTCTGTCCTGGTCCTACAGCAACAACGAGGAACTGCTCCTGCCCTCACAAATATGTTCCATTTGAACATATCTTGATCCCTTTGTTTCTTGGATACGTGTTCCTTTTGCCTCAGTCTCGTGACTGGTAGAAGAGGATGTATCCAGACTCTGAGTTTTTGGAAATGTCTGATGTTAACCCATAGAATTCTTCAATGGCCTGGGCATCAATTTTCTGAAAATTAATGAGAGTTACAATTAGCTTCAGTCAAACCATCCCCTGAAGGAGCCCTTTCCCAGACAAGGGGTTATTTCCAGTTCTTGGAGGTGATGCTGGAAAGCTGAGCAGTATTGACACAATGACACTGAATCCAACCAAACATGTTCTCCACTTCATAACTCATTCACTGCTGAAAAAATGGAAACCAGGATGAAATAATAAAGCTTAGAGAATGGGGGCACTCTTAAGCTGGGCTACAAAACAAGGGATCCAAGAAAATGTATCCTTAAAAGACTACATGACATTTTTATATTTGTTTTCTCATTCAGACTGGTGTCACCTTTCCTGAGTATTTTGCAATGTAAACGAAAAAAAAAACCAGTTACTGAGCAGCAAAGAAGATTTTTGTACAGTACACGTTGAGTAGATTTAACATTCAGCTAAAATAACTCCAGATTTTAAAGCTATTGTCACCCTCTTTAGTAAAAAAGTCCTGCAAGTGCTACTGGTAATTACACCATGAAATCTGTGGATCTCACCTAATTATGATCTTCTGGCCATAAGAGAGCTTTCCTTCCTTAGGATCTGCTGGCACAGAGCCTACAGGAATATTATCACAAGGTTTGTTCTAAGAAGAATTAATTATCTGCGGTATTGATATAATTAAATGGTCAGCTTATATTTTAAGTTGTGAACTATGAGCAGAAAAGTAGCTTTTCTTTCCAACCATCAAGGCCTGTAGGGCATTTGAAAGGGTTTTCAAAAATGCAAGTTCTACATGTCTTGAGCCTGTTCCTGAGAACAACTGGCTTCAGATTACTGAGTTGGGTTCTGCAGTCAGGGGAGAGAAAAACACTGAAATAAAACCCTCCCAGGGGCCTGTGCTACTCAGCACTGCACTGGGGGGAGAGGATTTTAAAATACCTGTAAAAAAAAAAGATCCTAAAATACGTTCAGGACTCTGGATCCACAGAGATGAGAGGCTGAGGGAGCCTGAATTTGTTGTGGAGCCTAAAGGGAGACAAGCCTGAAGTTTCTCTTTATATATTATATTTCCCTAGAAATATTATATTTATATATTGTATATTATATTTATATTAAGCTGAGGAAGCAAAGAAATGCTCCAAATACAAGAAGCTGTGAGCTGAACACCTGCTCTGACTGGAAGAGGGAGAAGCAGAAACCAACCTGTGTTTCCATCTTAAAAGAAAGGGACTCTGCTCTGCCTCCCCCAGGAGCCTCCTCAGCTGCAGAATGTGTTGGGCAGAATGTTAAATCCTTGCTCACTAACCAGATTTTGGCATCCCCAGCAGCCTCAGCAGCTCTGGTTGCTCTAAGTGGCACTGCCAAACAACCTGTGAGCTGAGCCCAGCCTTTCCCAGCCTCTCCCAGCCTTTCCCAGGCTGTCCAAGCACAAGAGGAACAGACGGGAGATTTCAGAAGGTGCAGCAGCTGCAGAAATTCTCTCTTGAATAGTTTTGTTAAACACCTTCTGTTTAAAAAAGAGAAGGGGGGGGGAAACCCTCCAAGGTGTTTTGTGTTTTTCTCTTCTCCACTGAGGGAGTGCAGAGAAGCAAACATCCCACTGAGGGTGTGCATTTTCACACCATTTATTAACAGAACGTTACTACAGACTGTTAGAGCCACACTTAACAGAAATACAGCCCAAGAACATCCTTCAGGCCTTGCAATATATTTAGCAGACAACTCAAACATTAGCAACTCCTGTTTTATTTTAAGTGCCAACCAACTTGCCATGCAATCAAGCCTATTTCCACCACTCATTCTGAATGCAAGGCAAACACTTGATCGGGATCAATTCATCCCACAGATATATTTAGTTATATCACAGCAAAACTGGCTTCCTTCTTTAATTTCACTATCCACAGAGAGTACACTGGAACTGGAAGAGGATTATTCAGACTATTCTTCCCCTCCTTAGCTGACCACAGAGTGTGGACAGCAGAGTTTCACCAGCTGCAGCTTTAGAGTAACAACCAGTGGAGGGTTTCACAACTACTCTGAGGGTTCTGCAGCCTCACCTGGCACTAAAAGTGATGTTGTTTCCTATGAACTGAGCTGAACTACCCTTTGCTCACTTCCAAACATCCATCCTGGCTCTCCAAACCAAAGGCAGTTCTTGAAGACCATTCACAGGCTGCAAATCAGCAAGGACATGCAGCCCTTCCCTCCAAGTGCAGAGCCCCCTGGATGGAAGCCTTTCCCTCCCTGTGTCAGGTAAATATTAGAGCATCACTTAATTGCTCTAATAACAACAACATGTCAAATTAGCCAGAGATGGGAGATTAGCCAGAGAAACTCAGGTTTCTCAATTCATTTTGCTTGGCACAGGATCCCACTTGGACTGATTTGCCTCCTGGATTTGATGCTTTTCCACATATGCTGCAGAATGTTTGATTATCATCTATCTGCCATTTAATTGAGAGTTGGCCTTCCAATGAGATCCTAATAGACAAATAAATATGCCTTCCCCACTGCTGACATTTAGTGGGTAATCAGGATAAACTACTTCCCATTGGCAGTTCAGAACTAGTCATTCCTATCACTTGCCAAAAATGCAATAAAGCTTTTGAACTGTATTTAAGGGGGAAAACCTTCCTCCTGTGCTCTCTTTCAGCTGCAATATCTGTACTCAGGAGTCTGGTTTTCTTGGTGGCCACAATTAGAATATAAAGTCTCCAAAGAGCTTTACTTTTACAGCACTTTAGATAAACTCTATAAAAGATGAGCTTGAAAAAAGAAAGGTACCAATAAAGTTAGAAAAGCAACATAAAGGGAAAAAAAAAAGTATTTTTTTCCACGAGGGAGGAACTAACTACATTCCAGCTTGTGACAGCTCCTTGGATTTCCTGCCCAGTGACAGCACAGATTTCAGAGCCATGTTTTGGCATATCTATAATAGTGCCAAGTGTTTGCAGATAAAGAGAAATTCTAGTTTGTCCTAAAAGCTGAGCTACAACACAGAAGTGACTCATAAAAAACAATTACAGAATAATAAGATGGTTGTTTTACATCTGCTTTTAAAATTCAAAGTTTATTTCCTGGATGGAGAAGATTTTAAAATATTGAATACTATTTCCAAAATGAGGTGACACAATTCTGTACTTGGTTCATGACAGAAACAGAGGAAAATAACCCCAGAAATACAAAAATGGGAGACAGGCGACTGTTGATGGTTACACAATCAGCCCAAATCACTGGGAAGTCACCCCTGATGCTCAAAGCTCAGCAAGGATTTAATAAAAATAAACAATTGAGAATTTATCACATTTTTATTTCAACACAAACAAGGCTTTTCCTGCACCTATTTAACACTTCCCATCAGGCCTCAACCTTGACCACAAGGTCTCAGAGGCAAACAAGACATTTCCATCTTTACAAAAAGCAGCTCTACTGTGCCATTTGTTCTACTGCCTGATATTTGCTTAACAATTATGTGAAATATGTGGATATATAAATCTTGTGGATATCAGCCTTTACAGGTATGTTAGCAGAAAAGTTAGGGAGAAATTTGCTTGAGCCCAAACATTTGTGTCATCTCAGGACCTCACCAGAGTCTCCCAAAGCCTTTTTTTTTTTTTAACATTTTTTCTACACTTCAATTTGTTGAAGTGTAAAAAGTGGGAAAAAAAATGTGAGAAGCTCTTAAATGCAGGAATAAAATGCAAATCAGAGACAAAAAGGAGCCCAAAAGATGGGCTGAAATCAGAGCATTTCAGAGCTCTGGCACAGCACCCACCTCTACAATGTCATCATCAAAGAGCAGCCAGAAGCCATGGCTCTTCACAATGGTGATGTAATGTCCACGGTTTGGGCCACTGCCAGGAAAAAAGGGTGGAAAACTTATCATTCCTGTGCCTCCAAAGGCAGGAGCACCGTCCTCCCACAGGATCCCAGCCACTGCTGTCACAGCTGCACTTCCCAGCTCCTCACGTTGTCTGATGTTACCCAGAACACTGTTCAGGGTCTGAAGATTTTTGCCAAATTGCTGGAATTTAAGTTTCTGACTTGCTACATCATCAAAATACACAATTTCATGTATTTAAAGAAAACCCACAACTCAAACCCATTATTCCAATCCCTGCTTTGCTGCATTCACCACTCTGAGTCTTGTGACAGCTGCTCAAAAATTCTAACTTTTGAATTAAATCAGGTCTGAGATATTTTATCTGCACAGGAGGCATTTCTTTAATTCCCAGGGTGGTTTAACCTGTGCCTTTCTGTGACTGCTGTTCCCACTCTTCTGGTAGCAGTTTCCCAGTCCAATCCCACTGCCCATATCCTGAATTCTTACCTTAAGGGGAAGAGTCAACAGAATGACTTAATTCCAAGAGTGAAGGCAGGCAGACTGCCCTGAGAAGGGAGGAGTCTGAGATAATAAACTAAATGGATGGAAAACTACCCTTTACTGACCTCAAATCCTGAGAGAACAGCCCAGGGATACAGTGGAAAACCAAAATATTCCCTCTCTTCAGGATTACTTTTTCCTTAGGAACTACATAAGGCTTTGAAACAACCAATATACCAGCTTCAGGCAAGAGAAAGTACTTTTCCAGTTCTTGCAGAATTATTGATAAACAAATTTACCAACACAGAATAAAACTTCTTTGTTTAGAGGAACCACATGAAAAGTAAAACTGTAAGGGTAAAATATATAAAACAAGTTCTGAGAACTCGGTTATTTAAAAAAATCTCATTTATCCTAAGCCTTTGGCAAGTTCCCAGTAAGAACTGAAACCAGATGAGTCAGGACTCCTGAAAACCCCATGTGGGATAACAGGTTTGAGAAAAGAAAACAAAGTCATTTAATACATCTGAATTATTAATCACCATTATCAAAATATGTAAGTGTAGGTACAGGTATGGCAAATTAAGAACTGTGGAAGAAAATGCATAGGATGAAATCTTAAAATGATAAAAATTAAATAAAACTACTGTACCAGAACAGAAATCCCTTAGAATTATCTCATCTATATTATATTTAGTCATTATATTTAGCTCTACTAAATCCATGCAAGGTTAGTATTGATTATATTTGCTCCTCACAAAGATACTTCAAAACATTTGTGTGCTCCAATGTTACTTCAACACTCACCCTTCCAGAAGGCAGTTACCAACAATTCTTTTGCTTTCCATAAGTGCTTTTTTCCTAAAGTGCTTAAAATTTTTTCCTCTTTGCTTTTAAAACCAGAAGTAAAGCCTCTACAACACAAATCTGATGAAGGAAACAAGGCTATTTTAAAAGCTCAGCAGTGCACAGTTTATTCCACATGATGGCACCAGCTTCTAAAGGAACTTCAATGACAAATGCAACTTACTTCTCTTTTAGTAAGTGTTTTTCTTAGATTTGTTTTGATTCCATTTAGCTTTCCTGGAAAGCAGGCTCAGGGTTTTGTGTCGGTTTTGTGTTTTTAAAGACTGAACTGTAGCAAAGTAAGAGCACAGAAACAACAAAGAACACCACGCTGGGAGAGTTTGTTTATCAATAATCTCGGTCAGAATTACCACCATATTTGAAAGCCGATAAAATGCCAAACCCGAGACTCAAAAATTAAAATTTCAACCAGTAAAAAAGTAGTGAAAAAGACAGAAAACTTTTTAAAAATAAAGCTATTTTCAGACCCCGCTTTGCCCGTTCCTGTACTGTAAACAGCTGTTGTTAAATGATGCTGTGGGGGACAGACTCCTTTTAAACTCCAAGGCCAGGTGTTCCCGGGGCAGGAAGCACAACCCACCTGCCACAGTGCACCACCACGGCCACCAGGTCGTACATCCTGTCGGGGTTGGTGGCGTCCCCCGAGGTGTTGAAGAGCCGCAGCTCCAGGGGGAACACCACGCGGTAGGACAGCTTGGTGTAGCGGTGCAGCTGGTCCATGTACTTGAACCTCTTCAGGTGCAGAGCCAGAATCATGGGCAGCTTCTTCACCCTCATCCTGCACCACCACAGCGTGGCCAACAGAGCACAGGGAGTTAGCAGGGACCTGCCACAGAGCTGGGCTCCACAGTAGCTTCACCAGGAGGAAGCTCCTTTAAAAAACATTGCTCGGCTTTTCAAAATGCTGCTTTTCCTCACTCGTATCCCACAACATCTACTCTGAATTATTAACTACACAACTGACACCTGAATGCAGGACAACTGGCTATATTGAAAACATCAATTTTTCATCACATCAACGGGAAGAGAGAGATGCAATAAATCTGTCTTGCTGCTCTGGCTGTGACCAAGTGTGAGGTGAGAAATGAGATTTTTTTCTATCCAGTGCTCACAGACAAAGCAGATGGGATGGTTTGCAGGGGCTCTAAGCTGATTAATCCTAACTGGGGAAAATGTGAATGTCTGGAAGCACCAGATATAAACTCTTCTGGGAGACACACAAAATTAATCTCTTTATTCCTCTGACGAGGTCACCACAAAGTTACTTGGTCTCTCCTCTTTTCCTTACTCCCTTCCCCACCAAACACAGACCTAAACAACCTTACCCGGTCCTTTTACTGACTTCACAAGGTGCACTTTTCCACCAACTGCCCATTTTAAGAGAACATCTCCACTTAGGCTGCGTATTTGCCCCTTCCTTACCTCTTCTGTGCCTCCTGTTTGCTGCGGCACTGCTCACAATAGTATTTATATTCACTGCAGAGAGTCTCAGTGTTACTAAATCCCCTGTGGACAGGAGAGAGGAGTGGGATGAGCAGGAATATTCCAGGCCATCCAGGTAAAAGTTACTGCTGATAATGCTGAAAAAACCCAAACGACACATGGAAGATGAAGCTCCTTTTATTCTCCTTGCTCACAAACCCATTTTAGGTGTGTTTGTCCTGGGATGTTCAGCTGGAAAAATCTGGAAATCACCCCCTCGGGTATTAACCGCCTATTTTCTGAGTAGGAAAGGTAAGAAACTGCAATAAGGTGATCGAGTTTTGTTGCCATCAGCAGCCATTCCATGTTTTCTCTGGTGGCAGAAATGAACTGTCCAGATCTACGGCCATTAACCAGCCTGAGTCTGGATTATCTTCCAGCTCCCAGCAGTTCCACAGCCATTATCAGCTATTAAATAGCAGATGCTGGATGCAGTATCCAAGCAGCTGATAAGCCTTGGATGTAATGGACAAACACATGGAGCAAATGTCTATCAGCAAAAACAAACCTCCCCCTAAACACGAGGAGCAGGCAACTGAAAGGCAGGAACAATATTAAAATAATCAAGAATTGATGATGAAACCAAACACAGCATGTTTAGTTTTGATAAAACTTGACTGTGTGATGTAGCAAATTCAAATGCCCACAAAATAAAGTGAAAATCAATCTTACATACCACTAGTGCTCCTTAGCTACTAAACCCCACTAAAAACCCACAATATTTTACCACATAGAGCAACTAAACCAGGCTCTTTCCTCCTGACCAAGAGCAGGAGTTTTTCCCATTCCCAAATAATCCCGTTTACCTCAGACAATGCGTAATTGATGTATTTTGTTCCACATCAACCGAGAGATCCAGAAAGTCCTCATCTTTGCTACTAACCTTAAAAAAAAGGAGAAGAGGTATTTGACAGCAGTTTAGAACTGGCAGGTTTCTTTTAACCATCTCTGGGATGGTGCAATGTCCTTAATGATAGAAAAGATATATGCACACACACACACAGGTCCTTTCCTGAGGTAAATTGAAACTGCAGAAATAACCTGATGTGTTGTTAAAAACCAAAGAGGAATATTAAAAAAAAAAAAATCAACAACAAGCCAAACCCCAAAACCCATGGAAAAAAGGCACCAAAAAAATCAAACCGCAAAACCTTTCTAGAAAACATCTCTCCCCCCTGAGGCTTCAAGACACATCTGATTATTTCACTGGCAAAAACAAGTTTTTAACTGCTCAGAGAAGCTTTCCCCACATTCCACTCTGCTCTGCAGACTGGGACAGCTTTTTGCTGCACTTCAGAGTGGAACAGTCAATACTTAGAGGGAAGGCAGAAACAGGCAGATGGTTCCTCAATTAAATGGGTTAGCAGGGAGGAAAACCATCTTTCCATTTGTGGAACAGTCACATTTCATTTCAAAATCCTTGAGATAGAACCCTATTAATGTCATTTTTAGAGCTTCTCTTCACCACAGAGCCAAAACTTTAGATTTAAAATGCCAAGAACGGTCCTTTCTGTTGTAATCACTTCTGCTTTTTTTTTCCTCTCCCCATCTGGGTTTTTCATTTTTTTAGAACTATTAAATGAGAGCAGATGACTAACTACAAATTCATGATCTGAAGGTGGTGTGGTTCTAATTCTAGATTTCATGGCACTTCTTTTTCTCTCAAACAGAGTGGCCACAGACCAGCACCAAGAATTCCAATAGCAACTCAGTTCATCCCAGAATTAAATAAAGAGGGAGCAACTCTCATGGAGAAACACAACATAAACTATCAACCACTGACACAGGAAAGAACAAGGAGACAAAAAGGCAGCTTGGATGAGCCAGGTGGAGACTGCCTGGCTGGGAACAGGGAGGAGAACAGGGAAAACACTACGCTTTGCTGAGCAACATACCTTCAGGAGTATTGAACACAGAGGTGACACACTCCTAACATAGGCTATGCTCCATATTTTAATAGAGAGAGTGCAATTTCATCTACCCTAATAAATGAAAAAGGGTGCTTAGCGTTAGGGAAAAGGCTCCAGAACCTGGGAAGCTCTAAGAGGTTTGGGGTTGAACGTACAGCCTCACAGTTCAGACATCTGGTTTCATTGGTTAGTGTTCCTTGGAAGATTTCATGGACCCACGTCAGATCAGCCTTGTCCCCCTCCTCGCTCTCAATGCTGCCATTCTGCAGTTTCCTGTTCTGCTTCTCCTGCTTCTTCTCCTCTTGGAGTAAGTCAGCAATAGTGTTGAGTAGGTAGTTCAGGAATTCATGTGCATCCTGCTGCATATAATTGTCAAATAATTCTGGAACGGAAGAGATCAAGGAGAATGAAAAAATACAGCTCCTTCATAATGCCAAGGCAAAATGCTTTTGGCCATCAGGGCATGCCCTGCCCCTGCTCTCCCCTGTCACACAACTGGGGGGACATTGAGAAGGTTTGGAAGAACTGCACTTTGTTGTTCTCACAAAGGGTTTTTGGTTTATCCTCAGGTTGCAACAAACAAACAGCTGAAAAACAGCATTAAGGAAACTTAGTATGGACATTTCTCAGAACTGAAGAAAATTATTAGTTTGGAGTTTGGGGGCTTTTTGTAGTTTTTTTCCTTTCCTTCGGGGAGGGAGAGAAATGAAGAAATTCAGACGCGTTGCCCTGGGCCAGCAGTTCATTAAGTCCACCATCAAGGGGCAAAAATCCCCCACTGTAAGTTTGTTATCTTTGCAAGTTCAAGCAGAGATGATAAATCAACATCCAGAACTTTTCCTCACCAAGTAGCCCTGGGAAACAACCACTAGTTCTCATCCTGAGGGATTTCTCCTGCCACAAATGGAAGAGCAGCCTACGAGGGCTGCATCTCCTCAGAGTTCAGCTTGGGCCGGGTCCATGACGCCAGTTTAGCCCAGGCCGGGCTGGAGCAGTGACCTGGGGCATGCTGACTGCAGCACAGCTCCAGGGAACACCATGCCAGGGGGGATAACTGGAATGCTGGCACATGGGCACGGCCTAAGCAAGCCCAGGAACAACAACATGGAGAGAACCCCTGCAGGACAAGCACACTGCTGGGACAACCCCAGAGGAGGTGAAATTTCCACCACAAAACCTACGAGAAACCTCTTCAACCTCGACTCAAAAAGGGAGTCGTGTTTACATTTTACACACCTTAAAAACCATTTATTTATTCATTTACCATTTTCTTTCCTCAGCCGGGAAATGAATTTCTTGGGTGGGATGACCCCCACCTTCTTCTTTTGGGTGGCAATACTGTTGAAGAGATCAGAGAGGCAGGTCAGGAGGCTTTCCTTCTTCCGAGGCTGCACTTTGTACGCCAACACTTTTTCCCGAAATGGACGACAAAAATAAAGTGCCTGTAAGACTGAGTTGCAGTAGCAGGTGTTGCCAAACTGGTCAAAACAGAACAGAGGAGAATAAATGGATTTGTAGCAGGTCTGTTAGAAAGGAATAACAGAGGTGGTTCATTAAGAACAGCACAGAGTGAGATTGGAAAGGTTGTTTGTCAGAGTTCATTTGCTGGGGAAATGCAGAGTTCATTTACTGGGGAAATACAAGTTGGAATGGTGTGAAAGACTGAGTCTGCTGGTAACAGCAAGGGAAGGAAGAGGAGACAACAGTCACAGGGATATTGGGATTACACATCCAATGTAATTAAGGGCTCATCCCAGAACCCAGAGTTCTAGAGATGCAGCACTGCTCATCCTGAGAGGGGAGATCCTGCTGTGGAGGGGTGCCAAGGACATAGAATGAAACAAATAAATAACATACTACATTATAAATATAATATTAAAATAAATAAATCTTTCTGTGCCTGTAATGGATTGTTTTGAGCAGCACATGATGCAGGGAAATGCAGAGCGCAGCCTCCAAGACTGAGTTGCAGTAGCAGGTGTTGCCAAACTGGTCAAAATGGAACAAAAGGGAAATAAATGGTTTCATACTGGGTCTGTTAAAAAGGAATAACAGAGGTGGCTCGTTAAGAACAGCACAGAGTGAGACTGGAGAAGTTGTTTGTCAGAGTTCATTTACTGGGATGGTGAGAAAGACTGAGCCTTCTATCAGCTGGTAAGAGAAGACAACAGTCACAGGGATATTGGGAATACACACAAAAAGTAGCTAAGGGCTCATCCCAAAATCCCAAGTTCTGGAGACACAGCACCGCTCATCCTGAGAGGGGAGATCCTGCTGTGGAGGGGTGCCAAGGACCCAGAATGAAATAAATAAATAATGCCATATCTTATCAACTAACAATATAATAAATAAGTACTTCCTGCCTATAAGGGACTGTTTTGAGCCAGGAAATGCAGAGCAGCTGGTTCCCACCTGCCCTGTCTGAGGGCAGTGTCACCCCTGAGATAACCACTTCCAGAGGCAGCTGCAGGGCTGGAGAAGGAGGCACAGGGAGATATCACCCTATCACCCAAAGCCATGGGCTTGGAGCTGCTCCTCTGCACGTTATTGTCCAGCTCCTGTCCAACGCTGCGGCTCCAAAGGACCGAACCCAGCCCTGGCTCTGCCAGTCCCCAGCCACTCTGGTACAGACTGTGCATCTCAAGAGCATGAGAGGAAAGTACTTGAAATAAACCAAAAATGGTAGCAAAATAGTTTAAATAAACCAAAAAAGCACACAAAGGTGACTCCAGAGCACAGACTGTTTTGGTACTCGGAGATCCAGTCAGTGCTCCCAAAACTTTGGTGTGGTTCCTGCAGCAGAATGATGTCAATAATCACTTTGCTGAGCAAAGCAGTTGAATTCATACAGCTGGAAAGGTTACAGGTTAGAGTTACATTAACAGGCATTTATACCACATGGAGAAACAGTTACAACTTACCGACATGAGGAAAATAAATATGCAAGCTGAGCAAACACAGGAATTAGGATAGAGCCTCACTCACATGGTTGTCAGTGACCCAGAAAAACAAATAAGTGTCATGCTAATTAAATTTGCTAAATAAATTTGCATACAACATAAAAGAATATCAATGCAGGCAAAACTAGTAAAAGTCTGATTACATATTATTGTTTTCAGGTGAGGTATCTGCTATATCTGTCCATAACCACCTCAGGAAATTAAGAGACAGAACAAGAAATTAGCATCTTAAAAAAGATGGTGCATCGTAAGTCAAAAAAGTTTACAATGCAAGGAGTTAAAGAAGATTTCAGGGCTGTATTCAGGAAGAAATCATGTCTAAAAGCAGGAATTCAACTGGTTATACATGTCCTGCTTTGGTGCTGCCCACATAGGAGAGAAATCGTTAGAACCAAACTAAAGGGAAGAGTTAAAGGAGTTAAAGAACTAAAATTCCATCCAAACAGTTTTAAAAATTCCTGCCAGTGAGACGTTTTACAGTAGTCCAAGTGATATGGTGAAAAATTCACTTCACAGCATGATTTAGGTTTTAAAATGTCCTTCTAAGGAGTATTTTCTCTTTCCTACCACCTTTACAGAGAGTAATGTGGGAGAACTTTTCTTCCTTGAGCATTTCAGATATTTTACAACTTGCCAAGTACTTTGCAACAAGACCAAGTGATGCATTTTATTCCAGCAAATCTGACTTCTTTTCATGTTGGAACAAAATCCTTCCAACTCTGAGCACTTCAGGGCCTTGGGAAACTTCTGAATATCTCAATTATTGATCTCCCCCTCTCTGTATTAAAGAGAGTCCTCCAAAAATGACCACTATTACCCAGCAGTGTCACACAAACTACAACTAGTTTGTGTTTAGAAGTACAAAGCAATCAGATCTTTCCAACCATGACCTGAACTTTGTTAGAAATTCTGGCTGGGAAAAAAAGAAAGGGCTGTAACAGTTTGTCTTTAACAGAGCCCCAAAACCCAGGTTTTCAAGGCAGTTCCAAGTGGGCTGATGGATATTTCCAAACGTGGGGCCACATGCACAGATCACACACACCAATGGTGTGTAAAGTCTAATGTGACCTAAAACACAAATGAAAAAAAGAGGAACAAACACAAATATTTTAAAAGCTTTTGGTCATGGTTTCTCTGGTACAAATAAATATTGTAAATAGATGGCAAAGCATGGGGGGTTTTGCTTAAAACTGCCTGTATTTAGAGTCAGTATTACCTAACTGCCCAAGAACTTGTGCAATGTAAAAATAAAGTTTGAAAGCTTATTTTAAGATAGAGTGTTCTTAAAATGAAACAGAGATGAAATTCTGGAATGACAACATTGTTCCCCCTCTCTTGCACTTCATTACATAGAAATTATTCCAACAAGCTGTCCCTTCTCCCAGATCCCCTGCAGTGGCTTTAGCTACAGTTTAACTGCAGCCAGGCTGGTTCAGCTCACTGACCCAAAAGGAAAATAACTATTAAAACCAAATTTGGAAGCCTCCATTGTCACCGAGTCCCACACCTGACTCTATCTGCAGTTCAAGAGCACTGATGCTGAAGCCATGAGACTCTTTAAAATGCTCCAATTAGCTCAGAATCGTGAAAGAACTGGAAATAGCTCAGGAAAAAGCTCAGCAGAACAACAGCATGGAAATGCTCCCCCTAAAGAACCCGGAGGAACGGAGCACAACTGAATTAGTCATATTTTGTCCTTCAAAGCAGAGAATGGCCGTGGTCATAGTAATTCTGGGTATTTTTAGGGTGCTATTTTCCCTCCTCACACTATTCAACACCCTGTTATTTATGTTACAATGGGACATGCCTTCCATTTTTCTCCTCCTGGAGCAAACCTCAGCAGCTTTGGAATGGTCATTAACACCATCCTTAAGGAACAGAATTCCGTGTGTTTGGATATCTGGGTGTCTGCAAATGCAAACTGCTCCAAACCCACCCACAAGCCAATTAAATGGGTTTCTAATGAGCTGCAATTAATACCACTTAGGAGCTATGCTGCCCTTATTTGGTGTGTGAAGAGACTGAGCAGCTTTCAGCTTTCAGCAAAACACACCCAGCCCAGCAGCAAACAGAAATATCCCTGTTTCTACTGGGTTGTCCCAAATTGGGATAGCACAGAACTACCGTTTTTATGAACTAACTCCCTTTATTCCCTGGTAAAAGGGGTCACAGGCCCAGCAGGATGTGCTGCTCCGGATCAACACCCACACTCTCCACAGTTAGTCTGGGCAGACAAGATCCCAGCCCAGGCACATCCACACAAACTGGCAGAGACAAAAGCACAGCTTTTTGGAGGGACTCACACAGGGCTGGGAGAAAATCAGAAGGAAATTCCTGCCCGAGTGAATGGCCCGTGCTCCTGCACAAAGGAGCTCCTGCTGCTCCAGCAGGGATGTGCTCTGGGCCAACACATCTCCATTCACACCCTGCACTCACCGCAGCACCAGGGTCACACCACCCCTCTGCTCTCTGCAGCAGCATGGCCACAACGCACACACTTCATTAGTTCACACTTTCCAGCTAAATATTAAAGTCTTATAATCAGAAATGGACCAGAGGAGGAAGGATTCTCTCCAAGGCTTTATAATAAATACTCTGTACTTCAAATGCAATTTTGTCTTGGTTAATCCCAAGGCACAGCACCATATTGCAGGATGTGGTGTCTGTGCACAGTCCCACCCTAAGTGAGAAGTGCCCATCAATAAAGTTCTCACAGACAAGCCTGTTAAATTCCAAATTAGGATATGAATTAAAAAAGAGCTTTTCAACCATAGCAATTTCACTTACATTGACCAAGCCAAAATAATGCTCATTCACAGGGAACTGCTCAGGACCAATCTCTTTCTCCAAAGCAGAGGCATTGGCGCCCTACAAAAAACCAGGATGTTTGTGTTAGAGAAAAATCAAACTTCCTCAACAATATCCAACAGAATTCACATATAAACACAAAGTTACTTCCTTTGAGAAACAGCACCTCATGTTTGCTGTGTTCTTCAAAATGAAACCAATGTGATGCTTTATTTTCATAAAGGTACCAAGGTTTCATTTAAAAACTCAACTCCAAAGCCAGAATTAGCTGCCTGACATAACAAAGTGTTTTCTACAGGTGAATTTATTTGAAAATTAACACAAGAAGTTGTTCTCACTGAAAGCATCAGGTGTCCCAGAAACACCGACTTCCATTTAGCCAAGAGTGCACTGTGAGAATAAAGACACTTGTAACACACAGAGAACAGAAACCAGATGGGCTATTTTATGGGATAAAAACACCTGTGTGATGTGAACTGCACAAAAGGGTTGATGTGGCTCTTTATTATTTGCATCCTGTGCAAAGAATTCTTGGAAAAAATCTTGCCTTCATTGACACTTAATATTAGAAATACTGTAATTTTCTCACTTTGTTTCTGGCCAAGAGAAGCATGATTACAGAACCACAAAAGAAATAAGGAAATAAGAATTTTATTATTCAGACACAAACTCAGATCACCTAAAAGTGCTGTAGCTTTGCTTAATTTAAGGCTGTAAATTAAGTTTACGTTGCATTTTGGCACATCCTTGAGTTTCCTGCAATACAATGAGGATAGAACTTGTCATTTCAGATACAACTGAAAAATCCCACTGCACATCCATATGGGTTTACTTGGCACAGAAAACCACCACTAAAGCACACCAACATTCTATTCTGAATATGGATTTTTTACAGTCAAAGTGGCTTATGCATCTCTTTCTGTTTTCCATCCCCCAATACATCATGCCAGGCTCCCACTTGGGATTTGGTCCCTTCCCTCATTCTCTCCAGCTTGTTCTTTAATTCTTGCTTTACGAACTAATTCTTGCTTTATGATTCTCCAACAGCCCTGAGCTGCATCTGTGCTGTTATTTATGGAGTTACCACCATTCCATGCAGAATCCAAACACTTTGGACTCTTAATTCTGTTTTAAATACCCAAGTCACCCCAACTACAACCTTCTGCAAACAGAAATCCTTCTTAAAACACCTCAGAAAAGCACTAAACCAAAAATTACAGTCCAGCAAAACTCAATTCATCTATTTCCCTGAAGCTACTAATGCCTTTTAATTGCTGAGCAAATATTTCAATCATCTCCCCATTAATATAAACCACAGACAAGTGGAGACTGTATAGACAGTTCCATCTGGATTGAGAAATAACTTATAATTTTCTAAGAGACGGGAAAGAAACCAGGAAATAATCCAGTTCAACAGGAGGAATGGAAACTGTACTTTTACAGTGACTTACACACATCAAACTAGACAGAAAACAAGACAGGCTCAAATTTGGGATTACAAAACCCACACAGTCCTCACCAGGTGCTGACAGATTTACAAGCACAGCTCTGCACAAGCAGCAATTACACCCAATTTTTTGAGGCATCAGTGCCAGTTCAAGCAGCTCCTCTCATTTGTTTCTCTCCATCCACTCCCTGCTTCCCAAGAGCTCTTTTTACCTCCACTGTCTCCCCCCCCCAAACCCCAACCCAAACCTGGATATAGGGACAACCATCAGCAAGGAAGAGCTCCTGAGATGGGGCTCTCCAAGTGTGCAGCTCCACCCTGACCTTGGGGAATGGGGTAACTCGAGTGGAACCAAAACTCCATTAAATGCACAAGAAGTGACACTGGGTTTGGAGAACTGTCAGCCTTGGAAAGGGAACTGATATTCCTTTACTCTGACATTCTGCATGTTTGAGACCAGAGAAGGGACATGTGTAAAAGCTGCAGTGCTGGGAAGTTCAGCTGAAGTTTCGATGAACAGTTTTCTCCCCTCCTCAGTGGTCTCCAATTTTATATTAAAGAGACACTGGAGAAGCAGCCAATTAAAGGAGAGACCACACCCCAGAGAACCAGTGAAACCAGACAGCCCAAACACTCCAGCCTGGAAAGCAACACACGGAATAAAGATGTGAACAAAGAAATTAAAGCAGAAGAATTGCAATTTTTAATAAATCTGTGCTATAAACAATAATCTACCACAAACCAGGGCTGCAATTCAACTAAGCCACCAACTTGTACCCCACCTGTCCCAACCCATCCAACCCACCAAGTGACAGGTGGGTTTTACCAAGTGTTTCCTTGTATTTGCAGCCCAAACTTTATAAATTTGGGTGAGTCAAATGTAGGGACAGATTAAAAAATTAAGGTTTCCTTAACAAATTAAATGCTAATTAAGGTATTATTTACAATTGAAGCTGTAGATGCCCTATCCCTGTAAGTGTCCAAGGCCAGGTTGGAGCAGCCTGGAATAGTGGGAAGTGTCCCTGCCCATGGTAGGGGATGGAATGAGATGGGCATTAAGGTCCCTCCCAACCCAAACCATTCCATCCTTTGGTGATTCTGAAGTTCCTTGTCAGAGAATATTTTAAATTAGCCTCCCCAAATCATAAAAAAACCCCAAAACAGGAATCATAGCAGCTGTGGGAGGAATCAAAAAAATCACCAACTGGTTGGGACTAGTTCTGAAGATGCAAATTTGCACTTTAAATCCGTGACAAACTGAAGAAGCTCCAGGAAATGCACGTGCCTGGCATTCCATGTGAAACAATGACATGATTCCTCCATGATTCCTCGGGGGGGGTCAGTGTACAGGAGAACTGCCCTGAGTGGGGTAACAAGGATGGAGAGGGGGGAACTCCTTTACAGCCATGTTTGATGGAAACACATCAGGTTTGTGAGTCAGGGGCAGAACTGGAGCCAGAGTTCAGCCACTCACCACCAGTGATCTTTGCAAGTTAATCTGCAATTAGCAAATTAACCAACTGGAGATGAAATCTAGTGCAGCATGAACCACATCTTGCCATAATGAAGCCTAAAAAGCAGCTTGTTTTCTGATTGAGGGGTGTTCTATGCCCATTTTCCCACCCCAGCTGAAAGATTTTTCCACCTGCCTCAGGTCACAGGAATATTTGCTCATAAGAAACAATCCACACTTCACAACTGTAGATACAGAAAAACCGCATTATTATCTAGAAATAAAATCTCAGCAAAGTGGCAAGTGTCCATAGGATGAAAATTTACCTTTATTATCTGGGGAGTCAAGAGAAACGCATCTCTTCTGGGTGCCACAGGCAAACTTCTGCACCTTCCAGCACTTTGCACATCTACAACCAACATTCTTGTGAAGGTACAGGTGAACAGGGAGTGATTAATAACAACTGCACAGCTCAGAACATGAGCTGCTGTCAGCTGAGAAATCCACATTTCCAGCATCCACATGGTTCTTGCTTCAAGTTACAACTTTTCCCCTTCTTAGCAATATGACTGACTAAGCTTCAGTGAAATCCTGCTGGACCACAAAAGTTGGCTGAGAATTACTGGACTATTATTCCAACCTTATGTCAAAATGTTTTACCCTGAACTAACACTTTTCCCCTTGAAAGGACTTCCCACTTCCAGTCCTAAGTAGCTGCTTTTTGCTGCTTTCCAAGTGCCTCTGCAGCCGTGGGGATGTTCTAAAAGCAGGGAGAAGTGTGTGAGGTGACCTCTGGAGCATCAAGCAGCTGCTGCTGCAGCTCCAGTGAAAAAGGGATCCAAATTAGCACAACACTGGGTCCGTCCCCTCGCTGTTGTGCAGAGCTCTTGTCAAAACAATCAGGGCAATGCTGTGCTGCTGCTTGAGCAAACAGGGAGCACAGAGCTCCAAAATGAGGGAAAAACCCACAGAGAAATGATGGGAAAGAGCCACGAGTGGGGACATGCCCCTTTGCAAGAGCCCTGGGATGTGAGGAGGGGCAGCACAGGAGTTTATTCACCATTGCCAAGCTGCAGCTCTGAGGGGTTTTGAAATCATGCAGGAAAAACCATGTCACTGCAGGCTGCCAATGGATTTACAGCCTTTCCATAACCATTCATGACCAGCTCAACACAATGAGATAAAATACCAAAGGTTTCTTTGGTTTCATTGAAGGACATGGGAATTTAGAAGCATCTAAACAGTACTTGTCAAGCTACAAGAGTTTTTTAAATGCTAACAGGGATGAAGCAGTTGCTTAAATATAAGAAAAGGAAGCCCTTCTCATCTCTTCAAACAATACAACTACAAAGTTACAGTCTGATCTTTTCCCAATACTAATGGCCCTGATAAAATCCACAGGAAGTCAAAATAAGAGTTGGCTCTGCTTATTTTGGGGCAATCAAGCATTTTAGATACTCCATTTACAGTTCATTTGTAGACAGTGGGAGACTTGCAGAAGAGAACTCTTAAAATCTAGATGGATCTCCCAAAAATTCTGGGTATCTGTAACCTTTGATTGGGGCTGGAGGCACACTCAGAACCTGTGAAGCATCACTGGTGTTGAAATAAAAATCCCTTAGGATATATTAGCTTGGACTCAGCACCATCCTAACTCAGTTTCTGGGCTGGAACAGCTTCTTCCCACTGAGCACCTGCCTGCAAAAGACATTTTCCTTAAAGAAAGGCAAAAAAGGGAAAAATATCTAAGAGATTTCAGTGTACACAAGTCCTGCTGAGATCTCTAATTAGACATTTGACTCTTTTAACAAATCAGAGCAGGATCAGATTTAGCATTTAAAAAAGCTGGGCAGTAGCTTCCAGGATGTGCAGAAAGGCTGCAGGGACACCCTCCTACAGCCCTGAGGTTAGAAAAGCTGGTTAAACACACTGCCTGTCTGAGGAGCGACTCTGAAAGAGTGAATAAACAAACCAAAAAGGCAAAACAAGAACAAGGAGGCCCAGGCAGAGCTCCTGCAAACCTCTCAGGGTAGAGAACCTGCACGAGATGGTGCAGTTCAGAGTCTGTCTGCACTGGCTTTGCTGTACTCACCCTGATAATTGCTCAGCTCCAGGACTGTTGAAATCACCCTGTGGAGGAGTGGAAATGGGGCAGATTGG